GGTGTGTGTGTGTGTGTGTGTGTGTGTGTGTGTGTGTGTCTGTCCAGCTCCTGTCAGTCTGCTCAGCTTGTCTCTGTGTATCAGGCTGGACAGTGAGTAACTTAACTAACTGTTCAGTGATACCAAGCGGACACTCAGCTCAGAAACAGTGAAGTCAGAGCAAAAAGTGACTCTAGTCTCTAATCGTTTCACATGGATTTGTAGAAAGTCCTGCCACTGCTTCACACATAAAAATGAAGTCTTGTTTGCAAAGGTAGCTTTACCTAAAGCAACACAAAGCTGATTATAATATGGTAAATCCATTATTAGTTTGAAGCACTAATTAAATATTTCTTTCGTCATTGCAGTTACAGTTGTTTCTTTTTAAACTGTGTACATTTACATTGTGTATAAGCAATATGTGGGGAGCTATTTGAGTCTCATGGCATCACACTTAGCAGCTGATAGTTGTTTTTCCTTATTTTTATTTTCTCTACAGAGTTTTTTGATTCGTCTTTTTGAGGCTGATCATTTTTCCACCACTGTTGAGATATAAAGTTAGTTAGCCTAACACTCAGTCCTATTTGTTATCTCCAGGGCCAGGAAGTGATGCAGAGGACAAAGAGAGGAGAGGATATGGCAGGAAAAGAGAGGACAGGACAAAGAGTTACTGATGTTTTGGAGATTCATGATTCTTTATTGTCATTTCTAAGCTCAGCCTGAGGAGAGAGGTAAAAGATAGAGACATTTAAAGGGAAAAAACACATTTCAGTTTGTGCACCTACATTAAATAGGCCAAAAATGTTCCTCGCCTCTGATCCCTCCCAATCCTAGAAACACCCCTGTTTAACACATTGTACACTCGACAATCACTGGTGAAACGCGAGCGTGCACCATGAGCACACCTTTTATACTCCTGGTGTGGGGGTGACACGCCGCCATGCGTTGGATTTTTTTCGTGACTTGTGATGTGGGCGCTGGACTTAACATGCAAGGGGCCTTGCTCCCTCATTGCGTGCGATGTGCGTCTTAGACCACGGGTTTTCTATTCAACGGTACCTTAAAAATTGCACGTCTCACTTGCAAACTCCTTGTGGAGTAAACAAGTTACACTTGTGGTGTCGCATTCACAAGTTACACTTGCGGGCTGTCTGCGACTTTGAAATTTCGCAAGATGGACTTGCGTGGCACGTGCGATTCTGCACAAAAATGGGACGCAGACAGGCCGTAGGAGCCCGTACAGTCGGTTGTGACCTCGGCTTTATGCAGAACACCAGTGGCAAGCCCACCGACCTGAATGGCAACTTTATATCACTACTGTGGCCCGTGTTTTTGAGACTGTCATCGGTACACTGCAGTTTAAAGGTGGAAATGCTCCACTGTGGTTTTGACCACTTACTTCAACCATGACATGTTGACAAGGTAAAACAGCTTAGGTTTTCACTAGAGGAGGCCTTTGATTGATTCACTGTGAGAAATTCCCCCAGACTTACTCATAGAAAAACGGATAAACTCATAAAATGTAAAGCTCTCTTCAGCTTTCTAACTTTTTAAACTGTAACTGACTATTAAAGTAGAAACAGTTTGTGGCTTTCAGAGTGAGCGTAGTGGAAAGTGAGGAGTATCGGTGTATGTGTGCATGTTGCTATGTATGTTTATGAGTGTTTGTAGTTGTCAGTGATGCTGTAGGAGCACTTGTTGCTT